ATCTCTTTCACAACTGAATGATCGCATGCATCAGCAATGTTATTTTCTACGAATATTTGTCAATTTATACACATATCGAAGTCCCAATTTTGGTGGATAGGATACACTTGTAGCATATACTCATGGTGGACATTGAATTGTCAAGGTTAGTTGAGATTAAAACGAATTTTAGTCGGCGAATACTATTTTCAATCAGCGTTTTCGCTCTACCAGCCCTTGCTTCAAAACAAATATCGTCGCTAATCGACAATCACTGCATTTTATGAGAGTGTAAAATTAACGAAAAATAAATTGCTCATGGAATCACATTCTTATATTTTAATAAAAATATCAATTATTGCCTGAATCGGGTCCATTTACTACCTGTGTACTGGAATTATTCGCCTCTAATGCACAACCGGAAATCGATCTCTTTTGATTGTTATACACAACTGCTGGTTGTGCAATTGATCGATTAGCAGGCGTGATTTTGTCGTAAAATTTTGTCTATTGTTTCATTGTTATTTAAAGTCTTGCATTCATTAAAGGCAGTAAAAACCTCTTTGTAGAATTGTGAAAGCCCTTTCAGACTATTGAAGTCTGAAAATTTTGTTACATTTGACTCTGCAATAAATTGGATATTCATCTTATGAGTTGCTAAAACTGCATTTAAAAGCTTACTTAGATTGCTCTTATTTTGTATAAGTTAATAGATACCCAAGCTGCTTTAATAGCTTTAATTTTGGTGTTCGGATCAAAAACTCCTACACCCTTCTCTTTAATTTCTCGAATTAATGTAAGTCGCTTAATGCGTTCTCGATTGCCCCATAGGAATGAAAAAATGAGCTTATTCAGACTTTTGATGTAATAATTGCCTGGATTTTCTAAAACCGTTGCAGGGAAAACAATTTTTGATAAAATAAGCGAGTTCACAATTTGACATTTACCGAAAATAGTAAGTTTTCGGCATCTCCATGAATCCAATATTTTTTCAAACTCCTTTAGTTTACATATCCAATTTTTTTCATTACAAATTTCTTTGTTAGTTCCAAAATGATACATTCTGATATATTTAATTTTGTGCCTAAACATTTTAACGCATTTTCCAGTATCTTTATTTATTTTTGTGTGACTTTCAAATATGTGTTCGATACTGAGCTAATTCTTTTTGACCTTTTCTTGACAACCATGGTCCTAAAATTTTTATACATTTTGAATCTGTTATTTAGTTATATTTAATTTTGTGCATGACACCTTGCCAAAATCGTAAATAATGTTTAACGCATTTTCCAATGATAATTCATCTTCCAGTGGAAGCGTACGTAGTATCATCGGCGTGTTGTACACATTTACTGTATACAGGGTTATTTTCGCCCCGTGTTATTTTCGCCCTTTTGCACTTGCGAACTATTTTGACCCGTTTTAAATTCGCCCAGTCTAAGTTTTGTTTAAGTAATTATGCTGTATAATTTGAAAAATATCATTTCACCGTTTTAAATTCGCACATAATCAGGATATATAAACAGGGGCGATAAATAAAAATTTAATTATGTTGCCAGGATTTCCTCTAGATTCTGAAATATTAATGTACCTGAATAACTGTGTACAGTATTTCTTTTTCCAGTGAATTAATTTTGAAACCTTTTATATCTTTACAAATTTTAATTGTTTTCTTTTTTTTTCCCGATCTTTGCCATTTTCATATTAATATTGACAGCTTTCTTCTTTGTGATGTCCAGACAGAACTCTGACTTTTAATGAGCATTTTCCTTTTAAAAGTAATAATTGAAAATAATTTATTTCATTATTTCCATTACGAAAGCATTAGAAAGAAAGGTATACGCAGATACTGGACATCCTTGTCTAATTCCACGTTATCTTTTGACATTTTCTTGAAACCATCCATTGTTCTTTTATTACATAAAAGAAGGGGTTTTTATAAAATATATTGAATCCATTTTATGAAATATATTTGAATATATCTCATCGAAAATTTATACCTGAACCCCCTATCTAGAGTTTTAAATAGGAAATTCCATTCAACCGAATCGAAGGCTTTATGAAAATCAGCAAAGAGTAAAATGCCCTTCTTGTTATTATTTTCGCAGTATTCTAGAATAATTCTACGATACGTCTAGCATTATTACCAATAAATCTACCGTATAGCGGGTTTTCTTGGCGGGTGTAAAATTCGCGAAAAGTCTAGCATTATTACCAATAAATCTACCTTTAATATATCCTGTCTGGTTTTCATTTATAGCGGTATCTATGACATCTTGTAGCCTTCTAGCGAAAACAAAAGCTGTGATTTTGTAATCTACATTAGTTAGACTGATAGGTCTGTAATTCTCTAATTTGTCTAGAGACCATTTTTTATAAATAAGGGATAATATAGAACATTTTTGTGTATTAGAAAGTTCACCTTGTTCAAAGGAATAAATAAGGGCATTGTAAAAAAACGTTTTTAAGTGCTTCAGAAACATTTTGTAAAATTTTACTGGTATACTATCACTGCCCGGGGATTTATTTTGTTTCATATGGTAAATTGCCTCAGCACATTCTTTTAAAGTAGGAAAATTTTCAATTGTTTCTCTTTTTTCATCTGTTATTTTACTTTCAAGATTTATTTCCCTTAAATAGTTATCAACGCATTCATCCGAAACATGTTTACTCGAGTAGAGATCGTCATAAAATGAGCTAAGTTGTTTTAAAATTTCATCTGTTTTAGTGTATATTTGTCCATTGTTGTTAACTTTGTTGATTACATTGTGAGATTGGTGTTTATTTTCCAGTCTAAGAAAATATGACATATTTTTTCCCCTTCGTCAATCCATTTTGCTCTAGATCTGATTTGTGCGCCTTTAGCTTTGTATTTATATAATTCGTCTAACTCATTTTCTAGTTCTCTCTTTTTTTTAACGTCAATATGTGCGTAATTCCTATTTTCAATCTCCTCAATTTCTTTTTCAATTAGTTGGATTTTATTTCTTATCGTTTTACCTTTTTGTTTACAAAAATTAATGCTTAAATTTCTTATATGTATTTTTATTAATTCCCATTGAATATGCGGATTTTCCTCATTTTCTATTTCATCTGGAAGGTTATTTAAAAAGTCATTTATTGTTTTAACATAATTTGTATCATGCAAAATAGATACATTTAATTTCCAAAAGCCTTTTCCTCTAGTGTTACATGATATTCTAAATTTAAAAACTATTGACATATGATCACTCATTCTACAATTAAGTATTAACATTTGGGGCTTTGCGTAAAAAAATGTTCTCTGGAGCATAACAAAAATGTTTGCTTGCTATGACATAATCAATTTGACTTTTGGGTGACCCATTTCCATCACACCACGTTAAACAATTTTTATCAGGTTTTAGTTCCGACCACATATCAAATAAATCAAATCTTTGCATTATCTCCCTTACTATTTTCCCACTTTTATCTTTTTCATTATTTACATTACAATTGAAATCTCCAGCAAATATCAGATTTTCTTCATTCATAGCATATTGTGATATCCACTTTGTAACCTTTTTAAGGAAGCTAATTTGTTGGGTTTCTAAATTTGGGGCATAAACATTGACCAAAGTAATAATATTGTTGTCATGTTCAATATTCATTAATAAGATTCGACTATCAGCAGAGACTTGTGTAAATTTAGGGTTTTGAATGTAAAATTTTTATGAAAAAATATTGATACACCTTTACTATGCGAAGATTTAAACACTTTGCTGCATCAGATAACAATGTGACATGCATACATCTTTAAATAAAAAATACTTACAGTAAGATTATGAAAATTTAACTTTGTATCTTGGTTTTAGAACAGTTGATATCATATATTTATTACTCTTTTATTTATTTTATTTTATAAGAAAATAAGGGGTATTTCGGTGATTCCTAGGGGCATTTCGGTGATTCGTAGTACCAGTGTATTCAGTCCATGGTCAGATTTCCAGCCAATTTTGCTGACGCTTTGATTCTCTGTACTTCATTTTGTGAACCAACTTTTATTTTTTCTGCAAGAGCCCTCCTGTTTGTGAATCACTGACCTGGGATAGCCCTTCTTGATATTTTATAAAAGGAATCATACTTAAAAATCGCCACTGGAAATTTACTAACTAGCCCATCGGGCGAGCGCGTAAATAATTCTTGGTAGCCCGATCCCGGATTTACTAGCCTCGGTCATCGGGCTACCGCTTGATGGGGTCCTTAGGATGAGACAGTATAAACTGAGGTCCCGTAGGTGTTACAGTAGGTGCTGGCACAAAAAGGATCCCTCCCTGCTAAATGGCCGTAAGTGCCGAGTATAGGACAAACTTTGTAGCTCTCCAGCAGCGCGTGGTGGTGTCTCCATATGAGTGAAAAATTCGCAAGAGGGATGTTATTAAAACAACATTCAATCAATCAATCAATCTTCCAAAAGAAGTTGTTTCCCTTTGCTATTACTGAAAATAATGATAGATGAATTAAAATGGGACAAAGATACTGTAGTATACTTTTATTCATTAAATGATACAGTTAATACCATGAAAATGGAATTTAACAATGTTAAACATAACTATGACTGCTATATTTCAGTGAATCTGGATGGAATCCATTCTGGTTACAGCTCCCCGACTGCTACACCATCTATGCTGGGGAGGGACAAGCCACCAACGGACTCCAGGAAATTTGGGAGCAACACCTCGTCTAAATCCTCTCCTTCATCTGACTCTGTGGCAACTGGCAAGGAGCAACATTTAAAACAACACCCCAGCTCCTCCTGATCCTCCATTGAGTTGTGGAAGCAGCTCTCATTTGTTGCACCCTCCAGCTCCAGAAACCAATTTTTGAACAATAAATCATCTCCTTCACAAAGTTCAAAATCCAAAACAGAGTACAAGTCTCCTCTCTCTCCTTCATTAAGTCACGGAGCTCAGTCTGAAATTGAATTAACTCCATTTTCTAAAGATCAAGATCATCATTACACAATATATTACATTAGGGAAAAGTTTTACAATCAGAAGATTTGTGATGTAGCCTTCAGAATAGGGGAGAAAATAATTCCTGCCCATAAGATCGTGTTGGCTTCTTCTGACACTCCCTGCACTTTTATAATTTTAGAGGTAACTGCTTCTTGATGAAATGCCTCGATCCTTTTCGAATAAACTTGTGAAAAGGGGGCTTCATGAGGCTCCTTTTGAGATTTTTAAAGTGTTTAATTAAAGAGTCCTGTGCCAGGATCATGCAAGTGTGTCCTTGTCTAATTCAAAAAAAGGATCTTGTTTCTTTTACATGAAGAAAGTTCTTCCCAATCACATTCAACATGTCTGTGCAATAATCCACTTTCTCGATGCTTCTTACAGTCAAAAGCATTTTAAGCAATTCTTCGTAACTTACTCCATTTATATGATCCAGGCACAGCTTTTTAAGATCATGAACTTTAAAGACGTGCAAGTTTGAGGAGATCAGAAATGATGGTTGCCTCAATCTTAATTGCTCCTCAGTAGAAGAACTCAAGGAATACCATTAAGGATTTTTCCAATTCAAACTTTGTGTTCAAAGAGTCCTGTGCCAGGATCATGGAGAGTGTATCCTTGTCCAATTCAAAAAAGGATCTTGTTTCTTTTACATCAGGAGAATGTTCTTCCTAATCACATTTAACATGTCTCTGCAATAATCCACTTCCTCGATGCTTTTAACCATTGAAGGATTGTAAGCAATTCTTCATAACTTACTTCATTTATACGATCCAGGCAAAGCTATTTTATATCGTGAACTTTAAAGATGCGTGCAGAGTCTGAATGTAGGATGTTTTTACCTCTGTTATTTCTTGGATACATCACCACGACTATGAAATTAGAATACATTAATTAGAAGATTCCATCCGACTGATGTCTCCAAAGGAGCTTTTCATCAGATGAGATGCTTTAAGATCTTTAAACCTTTGCCTAATCACCAGAAAGTTGTGGATATGATCACTATGGCCAACTGGTCAGTATACTGGTAATTTACAATGAAATAATGAACATACTGTAAAATCTAATGTACTTTTTACACGGTGTTATGATTTTATCGAATAACAATTTCTGTTCAACTTTTGGGCACAACTGGTAAATAATCCATTTCCTAGATTGAAGGTTTTATGTAAGATGTAATTGAAGTATGCAGGGACAGAATTTGGTGGAAAAAGTTTGACACCTGTGCATGACGCATAAAAATACCTCACTGAGAAAGTTTTTCCACTTACAAAATAGATTTAAGAGTTAATACTTATACTACGTACATCACAGCAACAGCAGCAATTCAAATACTGTTATTTTTATAGAAAAAAAGAAGATGTGCTTGTGAAACACTGATGCCCCTGTATGGCAGCTTATGGCAAAAGAGTGTGGTTTCTTAAATGCAAACAAAACTCCAAGATCAAGGTCAAGATTGTCAGTATCAAGAGAAATATATATTATTATAATAGTAAACTTGATCCGAAGGGTTGTATCACGTCAAGTTGACAGGCGCGGATCATCAGATCTAACGAGACGCGAAGCGTCAAGTTTGATCTGATGATCAACGCCTGTCAACGAGACGTGATACGTCGGCTCTTCGGATCAAGTTACTGTTATAATGATGTATTTATTATATACCCCTTCATATCTAGCAAAATATAGCAAAAGAAAACTTAATAGATCAAGTGCATAACATTTATCCATAAAACAAAGCATAATAACAATTAAGGGACTTTTTAACACGCAAGATCCTGGGGTAGTGTAGATTTCAAAATGTCTTAATTATGATCTGACAGTGGGGTAGGGTAGGGATGCATAAATTATATATTACAAGGGGGAAATCTGGTAAAGAACAGAATGGTCAAAGCTTCTCAGGTGAGCGATGTGGCCCATGGGCCTCTTGTTACAGTGTACTATGAACTTGAAAAATGCAAATATGGGAATCAATAAATGCCAGCTATGAATGTGATTAATTGGATAACCAAAAGAAAAGATAAGCAGGAAAGAGTTTGTACATGTAGTTTTCTTCAAATAACATGCAGAGATTTACAAACTTTTTTTTTGACTTGTCAAGGATTCAGACCTCATTCCTCCCATAAAGATGACACATTAGAGGACCTGCTACCCTGGGAAAGGAATGAAAAAGCAGAAGAAGTGTCAGAAGCTACATAAAAGTAAGCTTTCAGATGTGCCAAATGCCAGATAGCAATTGGCTCAGGATTTCAACATCCATGCCAGCCCTACATCCAACCATGATCAGTCACGCTAGCAGAGTTGAAAAGTACAAATCCCCAAAAAGTATTAGCCTAAATATATATATCTGAAGGTATTATATATATTTCAAATATAAAGCTTTCAATTTAAATTTCTAAACATACCGTATAATTCCAATTAACCGCCCCTGCCCCTATAAGCGCCCCCTAGGTCTGTTTTCAATTTTCAGGTAATAAGGGCCCCCTGTAAGGTGATTAAAATCATCTAGAATGGTATGAAAAGTCTGTCAAAATTTGAAAAAAGTGAAAATGAAACTTGTCGTTTAACCAATTTCTCAGTGGAAAATGAATCAATTAACATATAATTTACCATTTTGGGTAGATTATCTTCATGTAAAGTTAGAAATTGTTTTAGTGGTTCTTTGAATTTACTTTTTTTTTCTTCAAAAGATTTTTCGAAGCTAAATTATGACATCAAATATCATAAAGAGAATACCAAATTAACCACCCCCTTTTCGCAATTTTCTAAGCGCCCAGGGCGGTTAATAGGGATTATACGGTATACATGTAGGCCTTAAAGGTCTCAGCAAGGAAATAGCCAATCAAAATGAATCAATTGAAATTCCATATATATATAGAGAGACATTATACGGTATACATGTAGGCCTTAAAGGTCTCAGCAAGGAAATAGCCAATCAAAATGAATCAATTGAAATTCCATATATATATAGAGACATGTACAATTTTTATTCCCCATAACCGTAAATGAAGTTTCGGGGGTATATTGTTTTTGTCGGGTTTATCCGTCTGTCTGTCCAGCTGTTTGTCTGCAAAAGCTTCAACCTTGCCCATAACTTTCGATTTAGAGGAGCTATGATTTTCATATTTCATACTTGTTTTCCTTGTGACAAAACCTTTCTTTGGGTACCACTAAATTTGACCTTTTAACCTTGACCTTGAAGTTTGACGCACTTGTACACAAAAAATCCAAACTTTTACTTTGGCTATATTTTTTTTGAGCAGTAGATACCAGGACATTTATACTTCAAATATGTATTCTTTGTTTGAAGACCTTTCATTCGATACCAACAACTTTGACCTTTTGACCTTGGAGATTTCGGTACCTCAGAACCTTTAACCTTGGCCTACTTTCATATTTCACAATTGTATTTTCAGTGAGAATATTGTACTTTTGGTACCATCATATTAAATTTGCATTGAAGAAAAGTTTAACCTTTGCTATGTCGCCTAACGGGAGCATCAGTGTTTCACAAACACATTTTGTTTTTTTTCTTTTTAGGTCACCTGAGTAAACTCAGGTGACCTATTGCTATCTGTTTTCGTCCGTCGTCGTCCGTCGTGCGTCGTTCGTCGTGCAATAACATTTGAACATTTTCAGCTTCTTCTCTGCAACCACTGAACCAATTTCAACCAAATTTGGCACAAAGCATCTATGGGTGAAGGGGAACAAAAATTGTGAATTTCATGATCCCTGTCCCCCTGGGGCCTAAGGGGTGGGGCCAAAACCACTAAAATTAATGCAATCTTTAAAAATCTTCTTCTTTACTCCTGGACATCGAGCAGTCAAACTGTTTGCATGATTGTAATCAGCAATGAGTCCTCTACCAAAATTGTGAAATTCATGGCCCTGGGGTCAGAGGTTCTAGTGCTAGGACGGGGCTAAATAAGTATATAGTGAAAATGCATTATTTCTTTGAAAATCTTCTTCTCTGCTCCTGGGGATTAAATAAACTAACTAAGTACATAGTTATGATAAGCAAGAGTGCCTCTACCAAAATTGTGTATTTTATGGCCCCAGGGTCAGGGGTTCTTGTTTTAGGGTGGGACTCTATTTGATTATATAGTGAAATGCATGAATTCTTTGAACATCTTATCCTTTGCTCCTGGTTAATATGCTAATGATCTAATTACATATTTAAGGCCAGGATTTCTTTTATTTTCAGTTTTACAAACCCTCCGCTCAAGGTTTTGAATTTTCTGAAGAAAATAAAACAATTTTTTTTCTTTCCGATGTCAAATTTGAGTCGGGATCGAGATTTCAAATTTACGAACTCGCACTTCCGTTTTTACGATGAAACGGCAGGTAAATAAAGCTAGATCTGAGAAGATAGCTTGGTTTAGTGTAAAATTCATCGATACGAGTGCCATTCAAAACGTTTCACCCGTTCAAGGGACACATAAAATGCTGACGACTTTGTTGCACAATGACATGCTGGTGAGATAATTATGTATTTGTTTCAAAAGTAACTGTAAATTATTTTCCTCCCCCAGGTTTTAAACTGCCCGTGGTAGCTATTGCATATTGCCAGGGACATTGTTTAGGTCTCTGTTATAGCTTACAGTCTATTAGCATCATTCTTCAGAAAAGGGTTGCTTATAATGCATCAGATGTAATGAATAAAACTATGGGAGAAGTGAAGTCCATTTGAGGAAGAAATAAACAATAACCTGAAGAAATAAAAAAAAAATTCAACTATTAAAAGGCAAGAACATACAAATATATACAGGCATGTAGTATCTTTTGTATCAGCCAGAAAAATTATTTTACACTTAATTGAAAAAATGTTGACCCTACTCCCCAATACTCCCTGTCTGTTTTATGACAGGAATTATAATTTTAGGCATCAAGTAAATTTTAGAACAATGTCTACACATTCACCTAACACATATTAAAAAAAATGAAGATATATTGAAAGACTTTTAAAGAAATGATTTTTTTAAAATATATTTTGATCAACATCACAAAATTTATATAACTGGCCCAAACTGGCAGATGATGAAATAAGCAATTAAATGTTCTACTTTCCTATTTGTAAGCATTTATGTGTCCAGTAGTAAGGAGCCTATTAGGATAGCATAAAAAAGAATGTACAAATGTTAATAATTGATTTATCAAAAAAAAAATTATTCCCTTCTCCTTCGGGACTTTTTTATTCTCATGTTCATAACTAAACCTAAACATAAAAAAAAATGCTGGCCTTATAATGAAGAAAGCGGCCTCTTTCAAAGGCTGCTGGGTCAGGGGTACCAGGGGGGTACTTTGACTAAAAATAAAATAATTAATGCTTTGAAATCTGCCCTTTGATAAGCAATGGTGCCTCTTTCAAAATTTTTGAATTTCATGGCTTTTGGCTTAAAACATGAACCAAATACAATCGCTGGAAAGTTGTTACATGATACTCAGGTGACCTATAAGGCCCATGGGCCTCTTGTTTCATTTTTGGCATTTTGTTTTAGGCCCACAGTATTTAATTTGGACTCATGTTCTAGGAGTATCATCTTTTGCAGAATTATCATGATGTTTTTTCCTGGATGGTGACTGTAGGCTCTTTTTCCACATGTGAAACCCACATGTATTTTCGGGGTAGGTACATGTATGTTTACTTTCTTTTAAGCCGCATATGGCATATTTTTTCTGATCTCAAATTTTTTAGCTCTACTGGTCAGAGACCAGAAGAGTTTATGCGATAGTACTGTGTCCGGCGTCCGTTCATCTGTCTGTCCATCTGTCTGTAAACAATTTTTCAAAATGCTACTCCTCCTACAGTTTTCGTCTGATTTCAATATAACTTGGCACACAAGTAGAATACACTAAGATACATAATTCTGTTTATCGGTTTTTGATTTCGATGAACGATGTTGGCCTTGTTACTAAAAATAGAAATTTCTGTGAAATAATTTCAAAATGCTTTTCCTCCTTCAGTTTTGGTCTGATTTCAATATAACTTAGCACACAAGTAGAATACACTACGATACATAATTCTGAGCAATGGTTTTTGATTTCGATGAATGGTGTTGCTGTGGTTACTAAAAATAGAAATTTCTGTAAAATTTTTTCAAAATGCCACTACTCCTACAGTTTTGGTCTGATTTTAATATTAAACTTCACACACAAGTAGCCTACACTGAAATACATAATTCAATATATCGGTTTTTGATTTTGATGAACGTGTTAGCGTTGTTACTTAAACACACAAGTAGATTACATTAAGATACACAATTCTCTATATCAGTTTTTGATTTCGATGAACATTATAGCCTTGGTTACTAAAAATAGAAAATTCTCTTAAATACTCTCAAAATGCTACTCCAAATACAGTTTTTGTCTGATTATAATACACTGGCATGCATTAAGCAACTACACTAAGAAAACTTCAGTCTCGACAGAGACTTCTGGTTATGATGTAAATGTTGAATTTTAATTGTATCTTTACCAAGTTCTTTGCAATGAAAGTAAATCTTTTTTCTTAAGATTTGACTTGAAGTGCAGATGGGAGTGTCAGACTGTATGATTGGGGTCACTTGCAGACACTGACAATGCTTTGACAAACAGGGGCCCCTTCTCCAAAGTCACAAAGGTTTTGTTTAGTTTCCAAGGAAACAAGGTAAAAATTAAAAATCCTACAGATGATTTTCAGCTTATTAGCTTAGTTCTTTTGTTTTAACAGTCATTTCAGATGGAAAGGTTCTGGTAGCATGCTTCATTTTAGGCTTGTCTCTAAGTTTTTATCTCTTTAAACTACAGTAAAACTCGGTTAGTATGAACACGGATATTGTGAATTCACGGATATAGTGAAGTTATCTTGGATCCCCAGCTATATAAATTTAACGAATTTCTTTTTCGGATATAATGAATTACGGATAAAGCGAAGTAATTTCATAGGTCCCAGTGACTTCATTATAACCGAGTTTTACTGTATAAATTAATTCCTTTTTTAGTGCTGTGTGAGTGACACTGAGGGAGCCATATAGGTCAATGGCAAGTCTGTCTCCAGTCAGCAACTTCACCAAACCCATCCTGGTATGTACATTACAATGTATGAATGTCAATATACAGTGAAACACACTTATAGCGAATATGCTTATTATGAGTTGACCCTTAAGCAGAAGTGATTTACAGTCCCCTTATATGTCAATTCAGTGAAACACGCTTATAGCCAATATGCTTATTATGAGTTGACCCTTAAACAGAAGTGATTTACAGTCCCCTTATATGTCAATATACAGTGAAACACACTTATAGCGAATATGCTTATTACGAGTTGACCCTTAAACAGAAGTGATTTACAGTCCCCTTCACTTTGAAATGTTTTTAACAATTATTGAACAATTATAACAGATACTGTAAATGTATAATATTTAGTGGAAAATGATTTTTAAACAAGTTAGCGTAGATTTGATTTAGCGCATTTCTTGATGTTCTTATTCATGTATCAATGTTTAAGACATTTAGCGATGTACTTGCATGAATTAGCTTTCTGTCAAAAGTGCTTAAAAGAAGACACTGCCAAATGTAATAGGTTTTCAGACTACAGTATAAAGAATGAAATGAAGTAAAATTGTCAGTTAAACAGTCCCTGTGACTTCTTTATAAGTGTGTTTAATTACTTTCAGATCTGTTAAAACTGTACCTGAATTCTGTAGAGACTCTGAAGTCTGAAAGTAAAAAAAAAGCTGTGCCTGGAAAGGGGGATGCAAATATTTGATATATAGACAAACCATCAAGTTTTATTAAAAGCAAGTATTTTGTTTCATTCCCCTGGATTATTTGCAGAGTTTACATTGCCACAATAAGACCACCAGTGATTTAAGCTTTAATTGGATCCTCCAGTCTCATAGCTACAGCAGGCCACTCCGTCGTCAGAGAGCAGAAATGTCTGTTGATGCCACACACTGCTGCCCCCTGTGCTTGTGTACATTGTGAGTACAAAAAAAGATGAAGGGGGGGAGAGTAAAAATTAAAAACAATTAGAAGGACTGTCCCATGTGTTGCAATGTTTGATATTTTGATCAAGAAATATATTTTCTTTGTTTATGCTTTTTAGCTCTACTGGTCGAAGACCAGGCCTCAGGATCATGAAACAAACTTAGACTTAAGTCAAATTTTCAATTTCCTATGAAATATTCATTAATTATGGAATTCATTTCGAAATGTGCAGAGATAACAATTAAAACTTCTGAAAAGCAATATTGAAAAATATTTTCATTTTGGTCTGCTTGACTTCTACAACATTTATTATCAAATGGAGATTTTGACTTAAGCTTAAGATGTTTCATGATCCCGGGGCCAGAAGAGCTTATGCAATAGTAATGCATCCGTCGTCCGTCCATCTGTCTGTCCATCTGTAAACATTTTTACAAAATGCTACTCCTCCTGCAGTTTTGGTCTGATTTCAATATAACTTGGCATATAAGTAGACTACACTAAAATACATTATTCTGTGTATCGGTTTTTGATTTTGTTGAACGGTGTTGCAGTGGTTACTAAAAATATAAATTTCTAAGGAAAACTTTCAAACTTTCAAACCCTACTCCTTCTACAGTTTTGGTCTGATTTCAATATAACTTGTCATATACCGGTAGACTGCACTAAGATACATGTACATAATTCTGTATATCAGTTTTTGATTTCAATGAACGGTGTTGCCATGGTTATTAAAAATAGATATTTCTGGGAAATGCATTCAAATTGCCACTCCTTCTACAGTTTTGGTTTAATTTCAATATAACTTGGCACACAAGTAGAGTGCACTTTGATACATAATTCTTTTTATCCGTTTTAAATTTCAATGAACGCTGTTGCTGTGGTTACTTAAAATAGAAATTTCGGTGAAATACATTCAAAATGCTACTCCTCCTACAGTTTTGGTCTGATTTCAGCATAACTTGGCACACAAGTAAAGTTCAATAAGTTACATAATTCTTTGTACTGTTTTTTTTTCCCTGAATGGTATTGCCATGGTTACTAATTAAGAGTAGAAATTTCTGTGAAATACTTTCAAGATGCTATTCCAAATACAGTTCTAGTCTGATTATAATGTAATTTGGCATGCATGTAGACTACACTTAGATACATAATTATCAGTTTTGTGTTTTTGATTTTGATGATTGATGTTGCCATAGTAAATAAAATTGAAAATTCTAAGTTTTATTAAAAGCTATTCCTACGTACAGTTGTTACTAAGTCTTATTGCAGTCTTACCACAAAAAGAGACTTGATCCTAAGGATCATTATTCTACTGTTTGCTTTTTAAAGTTTTAAGTCTCAACTGCATGCTATATACTTTTCTCTTCCTTTATTATAAGTAGATAAGGAGACTTCTGGTTATTTAAACAATAAAATGCTTTCTTTGTTTGTTGTTACTGGAATGAACAGAAGCAGCTGTTGCAGAAAAAATACATAACCCGCTTACACATAACCCGCGTTAGCGGGTTATGTAAATTTTTTCTGCAATAGCTGCGACCGTTCATTCCAGTAACAACAAACAAAGAAAGACATTTTATTGTTTATATTTATATCTGTTTAAATTATCATTTTAAGTAGGATTAAAAAGATTAATTATTGTGTTAATGATGCAAACGTCTTTGTACGTTTCATTGATGGAACGGCCACTGATCAAGAAATCTGTACAGGTGATATGCCTAATGTAGTTTATGCAGGGATGAACGCAATGGGTTTTCTTAAGAAATAAAGAAGAAAATATTCAGTGGATGTAAATATTTCACTATGATTGTTAAAAGAAAAAGTAATTAAAATGTATAGGATTTTTGTCATGAATGAAATATCTGCTTTCTCTAACAACAGCATTCATCTGTCATGAACACGGCTGTCCAGCCATTGAATAGGCACCACATCACCAGCTTTTAATATCTAGAGGACGATAAGGGGATTAAAGTCTGTATCTTTGACATCCGTCAGCGACAGCTTAGACACACCTTGCAAGCACACGATGTACCAATCAGATGTCTTAAAGGTCTTACGCAAGGAAATTTAATAGCCAATCAAAATGAACTTAGTCAATTGAAGTTCCATATATATAGAGACAATTTTTTTTTCTTTTTTCATTTTTGGCAATTTGTTTTAGGCCTACAATATTAAAGTTGGACTCATGTACTAGGAATATCATTTCTTTAGCAGAATTATCCCACTGAATTAAAAGGAACTCTTTTTTTCATGTGCGCATGATGCAACTTCCTGGATGGTGTGTAGGCTGTTTGTCAACATGTGAATCCCACGTGCATTTTGGGGTAGGTAAGTTTACTGTTGATTTTCTTTCTTAAAAGCCGCATAAGGCATATTTTTTCTGATCTCAAATTTTGGTTTAAGCATTAATCTTTATTTTCTCTTTCATGAATTTTCTGCTGAGAGTCTAATAAATTAAATAATTTAATTCAAGCTATATAGTAATATAATAGTGAAATTATTTCCTTGTGTGAGACCTAAAGAGGGACAGGTAACTCTCATTTTCACTAAAATTTCTCTGATTTCAGGAGTTGTCTCCCCTTGAAAAGATCAATAATGGCGGATAAACAATGCGGCATGCAGTCTGGTCACCAACGGACAGTTTTGACACCCGTATACCTGGATTTCTACCAATTACCTCTGTAACCTTTGTTGTGTTCATCACACAGGTAAGAAAAACAAGATTTTTAATTCAAAAAATTTTAATGAGCTAAATAATAAAGAATATAACATTTTTACATGTACAGACTCTCTCGTATAAGAAAATGTCACATTTTACATATACAATAATACATTATTCACATGTCCACATTTTCCCCATTTACACCGTTGAAAATAATCAATGCATAATGAACCATAAAAACAATCATTATCATCAAATTTTATACATTTGAAATGCATGTACATATCTTCAATGCCCCCCCTTCACAGTCTTACAATTTCCTTTTTAATTTTGGATCTGTTAATGATTTACTGTAAGTGTCTTTAGATTTTTTATCGTACAGCTGATATCTTTTAGATCTGTAGTCAATTTTCTTTGAAATTTTTATTTTAACAGTTTTTGTTTCATTTTAAAGTAATTTTGTCTATTTTGTTGTTGTTTTAGATGATATTTCCTTTGACAACAGGTGCCCCGGCCTACAGATTCACAAAGTTCCAGTGTTGAGTTTCCATGACCCCTATTCAGTGAGTGCACAACTTTATGTATTCTACTTTCAAAATTCTTACTACTTGTAATACATTTTGGATTTGATTTTTAAAATATGCCCTATTTACAGATTCAGATTTTTGTGTACAAGTATGAATTATTTGATTCTATCAAGATTACTTTGTCCTAAAGTCAAATTTATACAGTCTTTTAAGGGGGGACCTATGTCGTTCTACATCAAAGCAGGGTTATGTGACGTCACAATAGCGACGTTTGTTTTTACCTGTTGACTTTTGCAACTGCGATATAGGCATATATACCATTGTTAATAATCAATAACGTATACAATTCACAAAAAAGACAATTTATTCATCATTAATAACAGTTTTATTTGATTTATGGAGTTTGTTAATATTAGAATCCTCTTCCTTTGGTTAACAATTCATAGCAATTTCAGTTGTGAAAAAATACCTTGATGATTTGCTGATATATAAGCGCAAAAGGATAAGATAAAATTCAGCAAAGAAAGCAGCTTAAATCAGAGAAATATGTTTAATTATATGTTTACCATTAATTGTATTTTCTGGATAAAACTAAGAAAAAAATTAAGAAATGTACTTGTACTTATATTTGCTGATTGATTTATAGTACATGTAGATTTTATTGTATAAAGTCATTTCTAGGTTCTAATAGGTGTTGGTTGTTGACGTAGAAATGGGGGGGGGGGGGGCAGAATGATTGCATGGAATAAAGAAGAAAAGAGTTAATCTGTTAAAAATTTAAACTTTTAATTGTTTCTAATCAAAACAAAATACTTGTTTTTCGCAAAATAGTTTTATATTTAAATACTTGTCAGTGCCTACATACCTTTTTTTTAGTGCAGAAAGGTCAATATTTATGACACAAAAGTACGAAAATAAAAGAAAACGTCATATTTCTCGTTTATTTTACCATAAAGGTATACTTTTTTCTTTGTTAAAATAAAGAGATGAATCACATCTTTAAAAAAATATGAATTACAACATTTTCACACAAAGACTTTTCAAGATATTACCTGTTATGCATATCGGAATTGCAAAAAATATGACAAGAAAAACGGGATGATACTTACATTGTGCTCCATTATATTTTTTCATGCAAGATGAATTACAGTGAATTTGCACTCATTTTAAAGATACAAGTCATATACATTAAATACCTGTTGATTTTGAGTGTGATTTGACATTTTTGGTTCTTTTTAGCGCATTTTTGTGGTAGAACAATAATGTCTGAAAATGATCTATTTTTAGCATTTCATACTGTTTTTGCACTTGCTCCTGTGTAAAAATAAGCGTATAAAGGTATTGTTTTTAATACGTAAATATTAAGATCAAGTAATCAGGACAGAAATGTCAAAGTTTTAAAAATTTCACACAAAGACTTTTCGGACATAGGTCCCCCCTTAACAAACATTTGTCTTTTTCTGTCATGTTTAATTCAAAGTCATGCACTAGGCAACACTGAAGATTTCCACTTATTGCTTTTTAGTCCACAACAGGAAAAGGAATAGAGTTGACAGGACTTCCCGCACTGTCCCTGGTAGCAGTTTATGAGGAAACCAACCGCAGTAGACATAGCACGCTTCATCAAAGGTAAGTCGCCGGAGTAGTGTTTGTAGCAATTCTCGTACTCTGTCCTGCATCGAAGCTTCAGGTCCAAGGCAAATCTTCTCTGCATGGATTCTCTTATGGTCTTGGTTCTTCCCGGAAACATGTGACTGCTGAATGGAGCCTTAGCTGTCTGTTTTCTTTGAGAGTCAAAGAAGTGACGCAAGTCCTTAAGGTTTTCAATCACACGTCCGTGTTTTTCAGATGCACCAGATGCAGCGGCACTGTCTCCATCATTAGTGAAATGGGATATGATTAGTGGACGGTCATCACTTAGTAACTCACCAACACAATTAGTGGCCCATCTCTTCTCATCTCCAATGGTGGTCTCAGGAGGAATGGTTGCAGTGCAGTCTTCATGTCCTGGACAGGTAACTTCCTTTCCTTTGCTTCGTACATGTAGGTGTGCGCCTTTCTTACACAGTTTATTCCCACAGAAAACTGCAACCACATTTTACCTCTGAGTTACATTTTCACTTACGGTATAAGTCACTTGGGTCGCAGCTTGGAATGGGTTTTTTTTTCAATGGCACTGAATGTGGCATTATTGCACCAAGCATCTCCTTCCACTCTGCTTGATGGGGATATCTGGAAGTCCACATTTTTCAGTTCTACTGTTCGTCAGAGATTTTCCATACTGTTTTTATTTACATCGGTTATAAGAAGAAGGGATGGTTTCAGCTTTATTGCACCCTAAAAATGTAACTGACATCAAAAAGTTTTGAAACCGACTTAAATGTTAAACAATTTGATAAATCAAAACGCTAAGGTCCTTCTGCAATATGACGTAAGTGAAGCATGATTTCAATATAGCTTGGCACACAAGTAGACTACACTAAGATACATAATTCTGTGCATCGGTTTTTGATTTCGTTGAACGGTGTTGCCATGGTTACTAAAAATAGAATTTTCTGAGAAATTCCTTTAAAATGCTACTCCTTCTACAGTTTTGGTCTGATTTTAAAATAACTTTGCACACAAGTAGACTACACTAAGATACACAGAATAGTGCAAAAATTAATGGTTTTTGATTTCTTCTGAACGGTGTTGCCATGGTTACTAAAAATAGAATTTTCTGAGAAATTTCTTTAAAACGTTACTCCTTCTAAAGTTTTGGTCCGATTTCAAAATAACTTTGCACACAAGTAGACTACACTAAGATACACAGAATAGTGCATCGGTTTTTGATTTCAATGAATGGTGTTGCCATGGTTACTAAAAATAGAATTTTCTGAGAAATTTCTTTAAAACACTACTCCTTCTACAGTTTTAGTCTGATTTCAATATCACTTGGCACAAAAGTAGACAACACTAAGATACTTAAAATAGTGCATCGGTTTTTGATTTCGATGAATGGTGTTGCCATGGTTACTAAAAATAAAATTTTCTGAGAAATTCCTTTAATATGATACTCCTTTACAGTTTTGGTCTGATTTCAATATAACTTGGCACACAAGTAGACTACACTAAGATACATAGAATAGTGCATCGGTTTTTGATTTCGATGAATGGTGTTGCCATGGTTACTAAAAATAGAATTTTCTGTGAAATTCCTTAAAAACGCTACTCCTTCTACAGTGTTGGTCTGATTTCAATGTAACTTATTACACAAGTAGACTATACTAAGATACATAATTTTTGATAAGTACAAACCAGTAGGGCTACAGTCTAGACAGAGACTTCTGGTTCATTATAAGTTCTTGAATGTTCGTCCAAATTTTCTTCATACTGTTTTTATTTACATCGGTTATAAGAAGAAGGTATGGTTTCAGCTTTATTGCACCCTAAAAATGTAACTGACATCAAAAAGTTTTGAAACCGACTTAAATGTTAGTTAAATAAATGACTCTGATAAATCAGGAAAGAATATCGCATGAAGGTTTACCATTCTGCAAATATGACATCATAAATGTGAAGCATTTCTTTATTTTCAACAGAAAAAGCCTCAAAATGGCACATTTCAAGGGTAATTTTCCTTTAGAAAACAGTGTCCACAGCCGTCGCCCACATTAATTTTTTGATATTTTGTGCAAAATTTAATAACAAATCACATATCTCAAGATCTTTGTGGGCGATGCCTGTGGACAATGTCACCGTATACAACGGGTAACGTGGGGGAGTCGCTAAAAAGTATGGGGGAGTCGTTTTCAACGTATGGGGGAGTAGATTTTCACCGCTTCGGAGTCAGAAGAGATGTGGGTCACGTCTTTTTTCGGTATTTGTAAGATGTTTTTACAAAAAACAAATAGCCCATGGAAGGTAGCAATAATCAAGCTTTGGCTTGGTCATTTGTCCTGCTAGCATATACGTCTAGTTTTCTCAAACACTTCGAAACTATTCGACAGATTTCATATTTACGTTGATCGAATGGTTAAAACATGCATGATTTGGACAATCTACGACTTTTGTTGGTATTCCGACAGTTAAAACAGATGAAGCAAACGTTTATCTTTAATATGCAAGAATTAAAACCTGTCTAGATTTTATAAAAATCAATAATCAAGACATTTTCTCTTCAGACAGTAATGGCTACGTAGGGGGGAGTCGTTTCTGGAAAACACAACACATGGGGGAGTCGCACAATTAAATAGTACTATTATTTTCAATTTCAATTTTTCTTTTGTTAAATGCTTCTTTACACTTTTTTTGATAATTTTAGTAAAATTTAACATGAAAAAAAATCAATATAAGCAACATGTTCAAGTTAAACTAAAAAATGACATGTATTTACTGTTCATTATTGTGAAGTACATATTGCACCACTTACGTCACAGTGTGGGTGGGGTCAGTAGTCAGAACTTCACGGAATTGACCAAGTTTAAACTGCAGTGCGGATGAACAAAATTTCAAAATGATAATATCATAATAAACAGTAAAAGTTATAACAAATCATTTATTGAATGTGTTCTCGGATGAAAATGCGTTTTGTTGACCCCTCGAAAACTATTTGCCTTCAGCCTAACAGCCTCGGGCAAAGTTTGGTTATTCGATCGGTTCGAAAAGACACATATTGCCCTGAAAACCTGTCTATGAATGTATAGTACTGGTTGCCCCCTTTCAAAAACTACATCCTTTCAAAAGAACTTTTCATGTGCCTGTGTTAAACAATAGAATGCTTTCTTTGTTTGTTATTACTGGAATTAACGGAAGCAGCTGTTGCAGAAAAAATACATAACCCGCGTAAGCAGTTTATGTAAATTTTTTCTGCAATAGCTGCGACCGTTATTTCCAGTAATAACAAATAAAGAAAGACATTTTATTGTTTATATTTATATCTGTTTAAATAATCATTTAAAGTAGGATATTAAAAAGATTAATTATTGTATTAATGGTGCAAACGTCTTTATACGTTTCATTGATGGAACAGCCACTGATCAAGAGATGTAAATATTTCATTATACATGGATATCAACTTAAAGTTTAAACGCGGCATGGATATTAATCAGGGAAACAAAACAAATATAATTAGAGGTATCTTTTTGATTACTAGTATTTCTTTATTTCAATTTCGTGCCTTTAATTTGATAACTGATTGTGCATTTGAAATATTAGTTAATACAAGAAATTTACAAGTTTTAATTTAAAAGTGTGAAATTCTTACTTTATTGAAATATTTTTTAAAGAACATACTGTTTTCCTCTACTGAGTCTGGTATGTAACAACCCGTCATTGTATGTGTTCACGAAAGTGCGAAAAGAGGGGGGGGGGGGAGATTAAGGAGGTTTCATATTCCGAGGAACTGTATACATCTGCGAAAAGGTAAGGGAGGGTATCAAATAATTAAATGTATACAGTGAACCAGAAATGTTTTGGTATTTGTTCTGTTCAAAGTTAATTATTTTTACACTTCTCCTTTTATTTATCATACTGTATACAAACATTTCCAGCGCTTGGGGAAATATATTCTCTTTGAGAAGTTGATAGCTAGTTTCAATACTACCCCTTGAGGGGGAGTATTGAAACAAGCCATCAACTTCTCAATAGAGAATAGGGGAAATATGCAATGCAGTCATGTCTTCAGCATTTTTGGATCCTGAGTGTATATTATCATATGTGTATTAACCCCAGATTGTCCAAAATATTCTCATTTAGCATACTAATTAGTAAGTACTTGAAGATGTGTTTCTTTATATGATATAGAAATTATTTAATTATGAATGTTATCAGTTTAAAAATTTCTACCTTCCCCCCCCCAAGAAAAAAAAGTCAAGGGGCGGGACTGACACCAGAGCTTTCCCTTTTTCTAATAAAAAATGGTTGATATTCTTAGGAAATTTTCGATATCATTAATCTGGTTGTTCTTCTTTATGGAGAGGCTGTCATTGATGGAAGTGAGGGTTTGAATATTTTAAAAAATTTTGTGATGTAAGAAAAATACATATTGAGGGGAGAGTCGTGTTGCCCAGCACATTATTCTCTATTGAGAAGTGAAACTAGCCATCAACTTTTCAATAGAGAATACTAGCACATGTGCTCCGAAGATATATAATCGAATTATACATGTATACTGCTGATTTTTTTCTAGATATGATAAAGCCACAGAAAACAATCTCTTGTCAAAACTTCAAATTATAAAGAAATTAACCAAACATTGATTTATAGATGTCTACGAATAAATAAAAAGGTATTGGCAGTATAAAAAAAATAAAATGAAAACAACACCAAGTATGCATTTGACTTTATTTTGCAACTCCCCCATGCGTTGTGTTTTTCCAGAAACGACTCCCCCTTACGTAACCAATACTGTCTGAAGAGAAAATGTCTTAATTATTAATTTTTATAAAGTCTACACAAGTTTTAATTGTTGCATTTTAAAGATAAACGTTTGCTTTTGCTGTTTTAACTGTCGGAATACCAACAAAAGTCGTAGATTGTCCAAATCATGCATGTTTTAACCACTCGATTAACGTAAATATGAAATCTGTCGAATAGTTTCGAAGTGTTTGAGAAAATTAGACTTATATGCTAGCAGGACAAATGACCAAGCCAAAGCTTAATTATTGCTACCTTCCGTGGGCTATTTGTTTTTTGTAAATACATCTTGCAAATACCGAAAAAAGACGTGACCCACATCTCTTCTGACTCCAAAGCGGTGAAAATCTACTCCCCCATACGTTGAAAACGACTCCCCCATACTTTTTAGCGACTCCCCCGCGTTACCCGTTGTATACGGTGAATGTTATCTGAAAGAATAAATTCCATTGAAAATTGGTGTCTTCTGCAACTTTTTAAAGAAAATACAGGAAAATTCACGTTTATGATGTCATAATTAGCATTTAAAAACCCATATGAGAAAAATGACTTGTATGATTTTTCTGCATTGAATTTCAATTATTTAAAAAGCACGAGTTTTCAACTTTTACACCAGTTTCATTTTTTAGAAAATCACAGGGCAAAATTAATATGGAAACCATACCTTCTTCTTTCTCCACCTTGTTGCAGGTCTGTTGCATGTTGGCGGCTGATGCTGGTTCAATATTTGCACCAAGAAACATACCACGGATACCCTCTGTTGTAAGACTGATACCCAAGTGACCGACAGCCACGGCCACATTCAGCTGTGCAGCTCTTTGTCCCCTGCAAGATCTTTAAGCTTCGCGGTGACTGGTAAAGTGGCTCTTCTTAAATTGGATGGAAAGGATCCATGCCAGGCCTCCTTTTTCCTCCCCATGCCGATACCATTCCTGAGTAGACCATCACAGTCTGGGAACTTATGTGAGTGTTTTTTAAATGCATATTGTTCCACAAATTAGCAGTATTTTCTGTCACTATATGCCTTACATTTTTATTAAGTACGCTTGAAAAATTTCTGCGGAAAATTTGTGATTTTGTGCAAATTTGTGAGTACAAAGCGTAAATTAATACCACGCGGAAAAGGTACTTCCTACAGTAATCATAATTTAACTGTTTACTTGTAGACTTTTTCTAACTTTTCAGACTTTTTCTAAGAATATGCTATTGTATGTGGTGCACATTTTTAATATTGTAATTTTTTTGTGTTGTTTATTTATTTTAGAGCTGCCTGTTTTTCTAAGAGAAACTCCATTCTTTGATGATCGACTGATGGAAAAGCCTCATCACCCCTACTGCTGAAGAACCCCTTGTCTTAATCACCAGCCATTAATCAGTGATCAGTGTTTTCAAAGCTCCAATGTGTAATATTGAAGTCTCTTTTGACACCATTTTTTCCAGTCTCTGACTTTGTTTTAGAATTAAGATTCTCACTTTTTTGCTGATTAATTCCTTAAAAATCAGTTAACTTCCTGTTTCTTAGCTAAATAGAGCTCATTAATTAGTGTAAAAAAAATTATTTTAGCAGATAGCAAAAACTACAATTATATTTCAGCTTTCATTTCATTCATTTTTTTCTAAATAATTCCTGTATTCAATGATCTCTGGCGATATGATTTGGATTCATAAGATTAATGTCATTGTAAGACCACGTGACCACGTATTTGTGAATATCTGATGGTCAAGGCCATTGATCTAATTTTTAATTTCATTATCTTAATTGATTCCTCTGAAATTATCTGTATTTTTTCTTTGCAGGAGGACTGGAAGAAAAATCCCAAAAGACTCGCCAATTAGATTAATTACTGTCATCTTTGAATTTTTAATTCTCCTGTAATTTATTAAATCATTATTTGTTTGCTCAATAAGTGTTACATATAAATGTTATTTTGGTATTTTTTTTAAAATTCAGTTCATCAGGGCTTTTTTTTTTAAATAGATCTATCATTTTTAAAAAAATCTTAGTTAATATGTTAAAATAGTTATTTGAGAATTTAAGAATTTTTCTGTAAATAAAGATTTTTGTATGCAATAAGTTTTTTTTTAAATATATTACCTCTGCTGTCACGTGTCTTAAAATTGAGCATTTTTATTTCTAACTTTTAAGATGAGTTTTGTTAGTCCTACATCTTGATGAATTTATTAGGATCAGTGTGTGACATACATTCAAGTCTTTCCTTGTGCATTAGTTAAATTTTTTTTTTTACAAGTTTATAGAGAATGCTTGCACTTACTGTACAAAACACGCCCCCGGTAAATTGCGCAAAAATAAAGTATACACGTAGGAAGAAGCCCCATGATATTAATAAAGCAATTCTTCTAGGTCTAAATCACAATTTTGGGAAATTTCAGGAATTAAAAGTCATTAAAAATAAAGAAAGAACCTGTGTTTTGAAAGAGGGGTCACTGCAATTCACGAATCTCCATTATATTCAACAGGTCTGGACGATTTCTAAATATGGAAGTCAAGAACGATAACCGTGAATTGCTATTAATACAAATAATAAACAAGGCGCTAGTCCTTCTGACCAATCAGATAACAGCATTTAGACAAACCCATGAGAAAATAAATAAAACACGTGGTTATTAAGTTTTTTGCTAAAAAGATTTTTTTAGAACAAACTTTTTGTAAACTTAAAGCGCATTTGGAAATTAAATAATATTTATGACAATTCTACCGTGAACAAACACGACTTGAAAGCTTTGAATACATTTTAAGTGGGATAAAAAATCTGTCACTAGGAGGTAGCAATCCCAAAAGTTTAACGTACGTTAAAAAATTGATATAAATACGGAAAATTTTCAGCTTTTATAGCCTGACATAAAAATCTTATCGAAAAGATATCAGTCTTTATTATTTTTTCAGCGTTTTTTTAAAACAAAATAGTCCATGCTTTTTCTGATATGCGAGGTAAGATATTGGGATAAAACGCATTCATGTACATATTTACATTTTCTCCACTTTATAAGCCTTTCCTTATACCCATTTAAAGTCTGCATAGCTTAGTATTCGGCGCTCATGAAACCCGTGATAATTTAAAACTGTATGCGTATAGTCCATACGATAAACACTTGAGTGAGTTGATCTATACACATGGAATTTAAGCATTATCGATGAAAATCGGACGGATAAGCAAAATTATATTTACCAACATACATGTATAATATATTCTGGTAAATGTTATAATTGAACTTGATAGGAACTTGCTGGTGCGATCTTTACCTGCGTACTAAACGATTACATTCTATCATACATTATTTTTTCTTTACCGAAATAAAAATGTCAAGGTTGTTCACGGTAAAAATGTGGGGAATACTTTATTCTTCAAAAATTTTCATCTTGCTTCTACAGATTTTTTGTTGAAAAAATCTTTTTGAGGAAAAAAAACAAAAGCACGTGTTATCTTTTTGTTCTTTTAAAATATGTTTTGGGGTGTGTAAAAATGCTGTTGTCTGATTGGTCACAAAAATAATTACGTTTACTTGATGTCCATTTATAGCAACTTTCAGTTATCGTTCTTGACTTCCATATTTAGAAATCGTCCAGACCTGTTCAATGCTGTTTCGATTTTTAAAACTGTACATGGTGAGCGCATAAATAATTGTTGCCCAAATTTCTCAAAAGGAAAGAAGATG